ACCTGGGTAGACAGCGTGAGCTGAGGGAGCTGTTCCCTTCTGGCCTTGGAGGAACTAGGATGGTGGCACAGATGGAGAGCTGCTCCCCTTGGGACCAGTCAAGGAATTGAGGTCACACTAGTGGCCCCTCTTTCTGTTTGAGCTGCATTGGGAGGTGGTGTAGGGACAGCTCTGAAGCTGAGCATGGCAAGACTGGGGGGCACAGTGGAGCCTCTGCGTGTCGTCCCCCCCCCCTCCCCAATACAGGCCAGTGGCTGGCAGACTTGCACTTGGCGTGCTGGTTTAACAGGCGATAGTGAGAACTTGATTGCAGGGGCTGCTGCCACTTAGTTGCATTCCCAACAGATTCCTGTAGAAGACACTGGGGTGGCTCTCAAGGAAGGCTCCCCAGCAAGGGGGGCTGGATTGCTTGGAAATGTGGAGCCAGCGGGGAGATGGGGAACACAGGGAATACTCTCATCCACGTGATCTGAGGGAGGTGGCAAGGAAAACCTCCATCTGTGTGGGCTTTCCCCTCCTGACTTCTCTTTTCTGTTCCCTGGGCTTTCTTGAGAGCCTCAGAGCTGGGGAAGAAAAAAGGAAAGTTAGCATGTTAAAATTCCTTCTCAGCAACTTGGGGAGGGGCTGGGGATGGAAGTCCACAGAGAAGGAGAGGAAATAGAGGAGTTTTTCTTTTGTTTCTGGGCTGACTGAGGAAGATGGTAACATTTGTCATCATAACCGTTTACTCTCCCCCTCCTCCCCAGTCCTGGTCAGCTGAGTGTGGAAATAGAGGGATTCCCGCCGCTATTGTGGTCCATGGGCTTTCAAGGTATCTCCTCCCAAGGGAACCTCCGCTTTCACCTTCAAATTGGTTTCCTCCATTCTATGTGCCAAGCAATCCCATTCCGAGTAGTTTACATCCAGGCTCCCATCTTTGTTATGTGGGTTGTCGGGTTGGGCATGTGGGAATGGGGCAAGGGGCTTCTCACTTTCCCTCCTCTTCCTGTCCACCCACCAGGTCACACCGCCTACAAGTAGGGAGCAGGGACAGAGAAAGAGCCTGCATGCCATTTCTAAGGTCTTCAGGATCAAAGTGAGCAAAAAGGAGGGTCAAAATTCTCTCTCCCTTTTACAAAAGCCAGTTTTCGCTCAGAGTGGGGAGGGGCAGATTGTTTCTATGATCTTGGGAGGCGTGGAAAGAGAACCAAGACTGATGCTTGGTTTAGATGAGAATAATAATGTTATAGAAACTTTCTTGCTCTTCAGTGGGTGCTGGGGATTTGAAAGAGAAGAGAAGACAGAAAATGAACTTGGGGGAGGAGTTTGTTGGGTGTTGGGCTTTGAGAAAGCAGAGATAATACAAGGTTGGAAAGGACCTTGAAGTAGGAGACACTGATGTTTGTCAAATGGGGGACCCCCCCACCCTGAGTCCCTTTCACCCTGGGGGCAGTGTCGTTCGTCCTCTCCAGAATGGCAGCCTGTGGAGGCACCTGCAAGACCAAAGTCACGGTCTCCAAGCCTGTGTGGGACTTCTTAAGCAAGGAGACACCAGCCCGGCTGGCCCGGCTTCGGGAAGAGCATCGTGTGTCCATCCTCATAGATGGCGAGACTTCTGACATCTATGTTCTCCAGCTTTCCCCACAGGGCCCTTCCCCCGCCCCTCCCAATGGCCTCTACCTGGCCAGGAAGGCTCTTAAGGGGCTGCTAAAAGAGGCAGAGAAGGAGCTGAAGAAAGCTCAGAGGCAGGGGGAGCTTATGGGCTGCCTGGCTTTGGGCGGTGGTGGGGAGCATCCTGAGCTGCACCGCCCAGGCCCACCCCCTCTCCGAGCAGCCCCACTCTTGCCCCCAGGGGCACGGGGGCTTCCTCCTCCTCCTCCTCCCCTGCCCCCTCCTCTTCCTCCCCGCCTTCGGGAGGAAGCAGAAGAGCAGGAGAGTACCTGCCCCATCTGTCTGGGGGAGATCCAGAACGCCAAGACATTGGAGAAGTGTCGGCACTCTTTCTGTGAAGGCTGCATCACCCGGGCCCTGCAGGTGAAAAAGGCCTGCCCCATGTGTGGCCGCTTCTATGGGCAGCTGGTAGGCAACCAGCCCCAGAATGGACGGATGCTGGTCTCTAAGGATGCCACACTCCTACTGCCCAGTTATGAGAAGTATGGCACCATCGTCATCCAGTATGTCTTCCCGCCCGGTGTCCAGGGGGTAAGGAGACTACCACCTGCCTTTACCCTTTGTTTCCCTCCCTCCCCTAGCTCCTTCTCTGATCTAGGAAAGCTAGGCGAGGGTAGGTGTGTTTTGAGATGTGATACAGTTTTGCTGTTTCCACTGTATGCCTTTTGCTATATGCCTTCCCACCCAATGCCCTGGAGCCAGGAGGTCCCATGAGGCCCAGCTTTTCCATCCCCACAACCCCATAGCACACATGAAAATCAGGTATCAGAGAAAGGAATTAAATACTATTTCCAATTCTGTAAAGATGATGGCTCAGGTGCAGGTAGGCACAGCAGGAAGGGATCTAACCTTTTTCCCGGAGTTGGGAGTGTTACTCCATTCCAGACTTATGGGAGAGGAAAACCTTGATGACAGTAGGAGTGGTCAAGAGCCTACAGGTGACTTCCTGCTTGACAAACAGTATTTTCCAGTTCTGCTTTGCAGAGGGATGAGGAAGCTCTGAAGAAGAATAGAAAAATGGAATACGTTAGATAGTGGAAAAGCATTAGGAGTGTTTTCAGGTAGGAAGGGAAGGCTGAAAGATAAATTAGCCTGTCTTCACATTTCTGCTGAGTTATCCAGAGAGTAAGGACCAGCTACCTTCCATCACTTCTGGTTCCCCATTTGTTGCTGAATTGAGACTTGAAGGATTGAGACCAGGAGAAAGAGCCTCTTAACAATAAGGACTTTGTCCAGGAATAGGCTCCTGCTGCCCAGACCCTAGAGCAGTGATGGGCTACCTATGACACGCGTGTCAGAGGTGACACGCAAACTCATGTTTTTGGTTGATTTTTCTTTGTTAAATGGCATTCAAATATATAAAATAAATATCAAAAATATAAGTCTTTGTTTTACTATGGTTGCAAATATCAAAAAATTTCTATATGTGACACGGCACCAGAGTTAAGTTAGGGTTTTTCAAAATGCTGACACGCCGAGCTCAAAAGGTTCGCCATCACTGGCCTAGAGTCTCTCCTTGCCTGAAAGGCTGTCAGCCTGTCGCTGCCCGGTCAGCCTTAGCTGGGTGCGCACAGACAAAAGGCTGGCCAGGATGTACCTCCATTGGAGTCATGGTCTTAAGATGTCCAGCTACTCACTGCCCACTTTGCTTCCCCCTCCTCCAGGCTGAACACCCAAACCCAGGAGTTCGGTATCCTGGCACTACTCGGGTGGCCTACCTCCCGGACTGCCCTGAGGGTAACAAGGTGCTGACCCTGTTCCGAAAGGCGTTTGACCAGCGTCTCACCTTCACTATTGGCACGTCAATGACCACAGGGAGACCGAATGTCATCACCTGGAACGACATCCACCACAAGACCAGCTGCACAGGGGGACCCCAGCTGTGGGACACTTCTTCGTTTCCCTTTACTTGGCTCCTCCCCTTTGTCTGTTTCCACAGAGAGAACAATTCCCTCTCTCTGGGAGCCTCCTAATTGGAGTGGGCCAGCCCCAAACTATTCAACCATCTCTTCCATCCCAGTTTCTCCTACATTTAACCTGGTCCTGATATGCCCAGTTTAACCTGCAAAAATAAGCAGAATTGGGCTAATTTATCTTGGATTTGGATTACATTAGGGGAGGGAGCAGAGGGCCCACAATGGGGCACCCAGAAGGAGTGTGAGCGTGGGGATAAAGCTGAACAGCTAACCCTGACCCTCATTTTTCTTTGCTTTCAGGTTTGGGTACCCAGACCCCACCTACTTGACCCGGGTGCAAGAGGAGCTGAGAGCCAAGGGTATCACAGATGATTGAAGGACATCCCTTTGCCAAGGCCCCTGCCTTTGTCCTCCACTAGGACCCAACAGAAGCCTCTGTTCTCTCTCCCTCTGCTCCCCCACACCACACAGTAGGGGACCTGTCTGAACTGGGGAGTTCAGAGAGGGATGAGGCAACCCCTTCCTCTGTCCCCACAGGCCAAGTGCTTCAGTGCAGTGTGAGCTGCTCCCTTCTGGCAGAGGCTGTCTCTCAGGCTCTGCTCCCTCTGGTGTACATACTCCCAGTCTTCCTGCCCCTTCTGTTGCCCTTGGCTTTTTCTGGTCTTTCTGTGCTCCAGTGAGGACCTGGGTGGGGAGGAGAGGGGAGGGGTCTTGAACGCCCACTCCCATCCCATACTGTTCCACTGCTGAACTTCGGTGCAGGGGAGGGGGGATCAGCTGCTGTGAGCCCCCATGGAGCGGCCCTGTATGTTCTTCTTAACCAATTCCCCATCTACCTTAACCTTGTCCTTTCCTGTGTCTCTGTTTGTCAGTCTGTCTCCTGCTCTTCTCTGCCCCCTATAAGGAGCCTCCTTACCCTGTTCTGGAACTGCCGCCAAACTGTAGCTTTTAATTTAATAAAAATAAAGTAAAATATGCAACTCTATGCCACACCCGTTCTGTTCTGTGGACTGGTGGGGGTGGGGTGGGGAGCGGGACCTGCTGAGAAGGGGATGGGGGTGGATGAGGAAATCCCTGTGGGCCTCCGGAGGCTGGGCCCGCACAGGGCCTGGGGAAACGGCATGTACCTAGCGCGACCCACAATAACACTGCGAAGCCCCTGGTCAGGCTTCGACTTGGAATCAGTATTAAGAGGGGGTTGTTGATGTACCATGGTTGTAGGAAGGAACAACCCTATCCTTTTTGAAAAGTTTGGCTGGGGTGGGAGTGGGGGCGGAGCCGGGCAGGGGGCGGATTCGTCAGCAGCAACTCCCCGGACGCACGCAGGCCTCAGAGCCCCCCAGCTTCCGTACCCCTCGGCCTGAAACTTGGAGCTGGGTAGGGGTCCAGCATGAAGCCCCCGGACCGCCCCGCCCCTGGCCGCACTGACCGGATACTGGGGGTCATGGGGGGCATGCTGCGCGCATGCGCCCTACCCGGGCAGGAGGGGGTAAGAAAGGGCGAATGTGGTGGGGTTCGGCGGTCTTTAGGGGGTTTCAGGACGGCTGCACCCCACAACTCAATTTACTCGCAAAAACAAATTTTGCGGGGCACCCGCAGGAATCCAAGAGTTCCATTAAGAGGGCCACAGCCATGCTCTGGGTGAGCCGTTCCCTCCACCCCGGCCCTGGCGACCCTTTCATAACAATGTGGGTTTTGACAGCAGGGAGAAGGGGAAGGGGAAGGTGAAGGGCGGGCTCCTTACGATCCTTCTGTCCCCGCAGCCTCCGAAGAGAAGCCCCCTCGGGCCGGAAGGGACCGAGCCAGAGTCTGCCTGTACGGAGGGGGGTCAGAGAGGGGAGCGCGAACCTGAGGCCCCCGCTTGGGCTCCGCTGCCCGGTAAGAAGCTGGCGGTGGGGTGGGGCACAGTTTGCCATCCTGCGCAAAGTGGCAAGTGAAAAAAAAATGCTGCCCTTATTAGCATAAAGGTTCGCATCTAATTCGCATGCGACCCATTTCATCGCTGAGACCTCCGCGCTTCTTCTCGCCCTCCAGCCTGGTGTGTGTCCCTCACTCCGCCGGCCCCGCGCCCCCACAGGCGGAGTGTCCCCGCGCCCCACCCCTGGCCCCTCGCCAGCCCAGGCTCCAGGACTTCGCCTTAATTGGTGATTAGCTTCGGCTGGAGTCCCGGGCCAGGAGGAAAGAAGGGTCGGGTGAGAGGGCGGCACCTGGGCTGTGTCCCCCACACGGAGCCCCCCATTCACCCACCCCCACCGGGGGTGGGGGGCTGGTCCACCTCTGTCCGGCTAGGGACAGCCGAACCCCAGGCCATCTTCACCCAGGCCCAGGCCGCCTCCATCGGGCCTTCTCCACCGCAGAGGCGGAGGGGCGATCCGTGCAGACCCCCCACGGGCTTACCCCCACCCCAGCGCTCCGCAGTCAGAGCCGGAGACGCAGGAAGGAGGGGAACCCCCGGGCTGGGGAGCCCAGGATGTGGAGGAGGGGCAGAGGCGCTGGGGACGTGGAGTGGGAACGTGGTGGTGCCTGGGGGAGGGGGGATTGGGGCGGGAACCCGACACGGGCTCAAGGGGGAACGCGAGGGAGAGGGCGGAGCTGGGCGCAGAGGCCCCTCCCCGCGGCGGCACAGCGGCTGGGCCTGTTATTCGTC